AGAAAACCCTAAAGATTCCACCAAAAAAAAACTTAGAACTAATAAATGAATTCAGTAAAGTTGCAAAAATCAAAATCAATACATAAAAATTTATTGCATTTCTATAAACTAACAATGAAATATCAGAAAGAGAAATTAAGAAAACAATCCCATTTACAATTGCATCAAAAAAAAATACGTAGGAATAAATTTAACCAAGGAGGTGAAAGACCTGTACACTGAAAACTATAAGACATTGATGAAAAAAATTAAACACACAAATAAATGGCAAGATACTCTGTGCTCATAGATTGGAAGAATTAATTTTCTTCAAATGTCCATACAAAAAGCAATCTATAGAGTCAGTGTAATCCCTATCAAAATTCCAATGGTATTTTTCACAAACTAGAACAATCCTAAAATTTGTATGGAACCACAAAAGACCCCAAGTAGCCAAAGCAATCTTAAGGGAAAAAAAAGTTGGAGGCATCACACTTCCTGATTTCAAACTATTGAGTTGTTGGAAAAGTCATGATGCATTTTTGCAATGAAAAACATGACTTTTCCGACAACCCAATATATTACATAGCTATAGTCATCAAAACAGCATGGTATTGGCATAAAAGCAGATACATAGGTCAGTGTAACAGAATAGAAAACCCAGATTTAACCCACATATATATGGCAACAACAAAGGAGAAAAGGACAGTCTTTCAATAAATGGTGTTGGGAAAACTGGACAGACAAATGCAAAAGAATGAAATTAGACTACTTACAACCTTACACAAAAATTAACTCAAAATGGATTAAAGACTTGAATGTAAGACCTGAAACCATAAAACTCTTAGGAGAAAATATAGAAAGTAAACAACATTGGTTTTAGCAATGATTTTTTGGATTTGACTCCAATCAAAAGTAAAAGCAACAAAAGCAAAAGTAAATAAAAAAGCAAAAAAAAAAAACCTAAGAAGCTTCTGTACAGCAAAGGAAACCACCAACAAAACCAAAAGCAACCTCATTGGGAAAATATATTTGCAAATAATACATATGATAAGGGGTTAATATCCAAAATGTATAAAGAACTCATACAGCTCAATAACAGAAATTAACCAATTCTATTTAAAAATGGGCAGAAGATCTAAAAAGGTATGTTTCCAAAGAAGGCATATAGATGGCCAACAGGCATATGAAAAAATGTTCAACATCACTAATCATCAGGGAAATGCAAATCAAAACCAAAATGAGATATCACCTTATACCTGTTAGACTGACTATTATAAAAAAGATAAGAATAACAAATGTTGACAAGGATATGGAGAAAAGGGAACCCACATATACCGTTGGTGGGAATGCAGATTGGTACAGCCACTATGGAAAACAGTGTGGCGGCTCCTCAAAAAATTAAAAATAGAACTACCTATGACCCAGCAACCCCACTTCTGGATATCTATCTGAAAACAATGAAAACATTAATTCAAAAAGATATATGCACCCCTGTGTTCACTGCAGAATTATTTACAACATGAAACCAACCTAAGTGTTCCTCAATGGATAAAGAAATTGTGTGGATCTAGGGGACATTATGCTGAGTGAAATAAGTCAGACGGAGAAAGACAAATACCATATGATCTCACTTATATGTGGAATATAAAAAACAAAACAAACAAAACAAGTTCATGGATACAGAAAACAGACTGGTAGTTGCTGGAAAAAAACTGTTAGAGCTAGGGGATGGGTGAAGGGGATCAAGGGTACAAACTTTCAGCTATAAAATGCGTAAGTCCTGGGGATGTCATGTACAGCATGGCAACTATAGTTAATACTGTATTGTGTATTTGAAAGTTGCTAAGAGAGTAAATCTTAAAAGTCCACCTCACGAGTAATAAAAGACAATAATTTTATTAACTATGTATGGTGATGGATGTTAACTAGGCTTATTGTGATGGTCATTTTGCCATGTATACAAATATCAAGTCATTATGTTGTACACCTGACACTAATATAATGTTATACCTCAATAAAAATAAATTCACCACTATTCCCCATGTCTTCCTATGCCTAATCCCAGATACTTGCCAGTGCACAGCAGAACCAGAATTCTCAACTGATGATGAAGATTCATCTGTCCCCGGGCTAAACAAGGTTAGGAAATGGGTAGGATTCCCATGATCTGGAGCCAAGGATAAAGATGTGACTGCCCAATGTGGGCAGGGGGCCTGAAAGCTAGGGTGGGAGTCTGCGCCTAACAGCCAAAAATATATGGGCTGGCCGAGTGGCACGTTGGTTAAGAGCTGGCTTGGGATGCCAGCTCTGAGCAGCAGGGCCCTGGTTCAGATCCCCCATGAGGGCCAGTGACCCTGCCCTCTACAGCTAAGATGCTGAACAACAGCTCAACCTGGAGCTGGGCTGCCAAGAATCGCCGGCAACGGCTAGGCTGTAGCCCCTGATGCAGTGTGCTGCCATAAGCTACCATGTGTGGCTGGCAGCCAGTGTGAGCGGCTGGCAGCCAGTGTGAGCTGCCAAGAGCCGCCATGAGTGGCCATCCAGTGGCCGGCGACCAATCTGCCTCACCTGGGAAGAGCGCAATGATAATAACAACATGAGCCAGTGAAGTGATGTCCTCCACAACTAGACTGAAGAACAAAAGGACAGCAACTTGTCTGTCCCCCTTCCCCGATTCCCCAACGCTGTTCCCCTCCCCCAATTCCCCAATAAAATCTTTTAAAAAAGAGTGTACCTCCACCCCACCCCACCCCCAACAACAAAGAGTAAAAGAAGACTGGGAATCAACTAGGAGGTGCTTTATCTGTCGTATTCATCATTAGATCTGTAGGGCCTGGCATAGCACCTGCCACACCGGAGATGGCTGGGAGGATATGAGGATCCCCAGGCCAGCAGGGAGCCAGCACAAGTCACTCTGGGTTAGGGTCTGAGTAGCAGGGGAGGAAGAGGAGCATTGTGCCCTGTATGCTGAGGCAGTTCTTTGTCAGGAGACTCATCCCCTTCAACCTAGACTTTATTCTTCGTGTTTGTTTTGGGGAGTAAAGAGTAATTTATTTTTATTAGATTCCTGGTGAACATAATATCTTAACCAAGAAAGAGAACTGTCCACACCCAGCCAGGACAGTTGGGCAATCACAATTTCTTCATTAATAACATGAGTTTGGACTATATAATTTCTAAGATTCCTCCCAGCCCCAAAGTTCTATGATTCTAAATTAACTAAAAGTTAAGAGGCGGAAACAGGACATTCATTGAACAAATATGTGTAACTATGACTTTGTGTGAAAAACGAGGGACACAAAGTGAGGAAGGCAGTCTGGCCTCAGGGAGCATACGGCCAAGGGAGAGAATACGCACTGGTTACTTAAATCACTGTGTGAGCTTTGTAAGGTTACATTTCTGAGTGGTTACTATATGCTCAGTGCCATTTCAAGCACATGACAATTTAACTTCACAATACTATTAAACAGTTACTGTTATCATTCCCATTTCTCAGCTAAAGAAACTTGGGACATAAAGCGATTAAATAATCTGCCAGTAAGTGGCAGAGCAAATAATCTGGATTCAGGGTCCATGTTCAATCACATAGCAATTAACTGAGCACTAATAGAAACATGGCCCAGTTGGGACCCCCACAAAAGAGACCTTGCAATGTCCCAGGCCTAGTGTTTCACTGCCTTAGAGCTTAACAATTGATCAACCCCCTCCTTGCGGTTTGAGCTTGGAATGTCCCCTGTCCCAGTTCCTGAGTTTGGAATATCTCCTGTCCAGTTCCTTGCTTTAGATAATTACCCTGAAACTTGTGCTTCTTACTGATCACAATACCCCTTGCTTACGATCACAATACCCCATGCTTACTGATCACAATCTCTACAGCCTATCATTCTTTCCAGGTTACTGTCATCACTGCTCTTGGGTTGATGACCACTTTGGAGAGCCACATTGCCTGGGGGAAGACTCCATGCAGACCCCCAGAACTATCACATGGCCTCTGCAGGAATGTCCAGATTTTCTCTTAAATATCCCAGGCTGGTATGAGAATGTTAAGGCAGTTTTTGGTGGTGTTAACTCGCTGCTTTCTCAGACCACGGTGCTCTGATAATAAACGCTTATTCTATGACCCAACTCCTGTGTCAATCTATTGGCTGAGGGCAGGCAGCACGAGCCTGGGACTCATTTGACCTCCGGTTTTATAATGATGAGACAGGAAGGGCATGGATGAGGGAGCTCAGACTCTTTTTTGCTACAAGTTCCTGGAGATTTTGTGACATTAAGTGGATTTTAATCACATTTCCTTTGACTCTTGGTGAGGTCCCCATCAGTTTAACAGGGAACACAGCAATGAGAAAATCATTTCTTTGGAGTCCACAGGGTGCTGGGTTCAAATTCTAAGTTTACCACTTAACTAGTGAATTTGACCAAGTCTAAGTCTCATCGCTTAACAGGAGCAGTAACCAGCTTCATTGGGCAGTCAGGAGGTCAACATTAAGTTGGGCAATAGGAAATTGCTGTTCCTGGAAGTCAAAACAGGGGTGGGATCTATCAAAACAGTTAGCATTCCTTTGTGCTTCTGATTTTTTTTTTTTTAAGATTTTTATTGGGGAATTGGGGGAAGGGGAACAGACAAGTTGCTATTTTTTTGTTCTTCAGTCTAGTTGTGGAGGACGTTGCTTCACTGGCCCAAGTTGGCACCATCATTGCATTCTTCCCAGGCGAGGCAGATCAGTCGCCGGCTTCTGGACGGCCATTCACTGCAGCTTGAGGGCCGCTCATGCTGGCTGCTGGCTACACACTGTAGCCCATGGCAACCCACTGCAGCAGGGGCTGCAGCCTAGTCTAGCCAGCGACTCACAGCAACTCAGCTCCAGGTTGAGCTGTTGTTCAGCATCTTAGCTGTAGGGGGCAGCGTGTGGGATCCGAGCTGGGGCCCTCTGGCGTCCCAAGCCAGTTCTTAACCAACGCGCCACTCGGCCTGCCCTTGTGCTTCTGATTTTTAAAAAACCCCATCCCTAAATAATTTTTTTCCTATCCTGCCTAACGCATAGCCTTGCTCAACTATCTGAGTGGCCCTGGGAGCTCAGAAGTTGCACATTGTTAACTTACTCTATGTAAACCAATAAATTAGCCTCTGAACAGCCTCATGAGATTTGGCAGTTCCTACAAGAATCTGGAGTTTCTTTCCAGTCAGCTACGAGCACATTCCTTGGGGGCCCCTTGGGGTCCAGAGAAGTCAAGAGCAGTGATAGCTCCGTTCCCTGCCACACACATACTCGGCGCACTTTCACCCTTCTTTCTGCAGCCTATTTTACCCTTGTTTGTCGCTGTACAATGGATAGTGACCTTGGTTCTATTTTAAAATGCGGAAACTAGGTCTATAGAGGGTCTGGCCTCGCCCAAGGTCTCAAACACCGTGTAGTGTTGAAAATAACGTTGGGTTTGGCACTGCCTCTAGTTTATGTGACCTCCACAAGGTTTCTGAACGTTTCTCTCCGGCCTGTTTCCTTTTCTGGAGAAGAGCGCTAATACCTCCCGTTCTCTTACAGCTCTTTTTTAGGGTCAACCCAAGCTCTGCCGGACCAGCTCTTGGGGAAGACTGGCTGTGGCGATATGACCCGGGAGACACTACGGAGAGCACGTGCGCAAAGGAGCGTAAAGTGCCCGGTCCGCGAGCGCACACCTGCAGCCCTCCATAAACACCTATATTTGATCTCGACTACAGAAAACACACAGCCTCGACAGCCCAAAGTTCAGAAGAACTATATGAGCCGCAGAGCGCCAGAAAAGAGGAACTGAAACTACCCCGCCCACGGAAGGGCGGGACAACTGGGCCACGCCCACAGCCGGCGGGGGCGGAAGCTTGTGCAAGTAAGGCTCGCGCCTGCGCACCGCCATCTTGTTCAAAGACCGCCTCCTTCCCCGCTGATTGCAATTTGCCCATTCGATGGGGCGGGGCTAGGCCATGGCGACCGCGCAACCTAGTGGGTACGCGACGCGGGTATCTACACTCGGATCCCGGCCCGGTGAGGCCCCAGGCCGCGTGGCAGGAGCTGCGGAGCCGCCCTCCGGGCGAAGCGACCGCAAAATCCCCCGGCTGGGGGAGCGGACCCCGGCGGCTGTGGAGAAGCGGGGGCCGTATATGGTGATGCGCGCTCCTTCCATTCAGGCCAAGCTGCGTGAGTGCAGCCCGATGGGGTTCTCTGCCTGGGCGGGCTGCCGCGTCCCCCGTGCGGGCTCTGGAGCCCCGCTGGGGCGACCCCGGAGGGGCACCTGCAGCCTCCTCCCGCCTCCGAAAATCTGTTCAGCAAGAGCGGGTTCCTGGCGTTTGGGAGACACGGCGGAGTGGGGGAGACCCCGCTGACCTAGGCCCTTTGACTTCCAGAGAAGCACCGGGACCTGGCCAAGGCCGTTCTGCGGAGAAAAGGCATGCTGGGGGCCTCGCCGAACCGCCCCGACTCTTCAGGGAAAAGGTGTCAGCAGGCGCCACCTCCTCTGTGCAAGCAGTTTGCAGAGAAGGCCTTAGTCTTTGGACTGGGAGACAGGGGATTCACGTTTAAGGCGGAGCTAGGGATTCCCTTGACGCCAACCTGTCAGTTTCACTATTTTACAGTAGGAAGAGGAAAGACCCTCCCGCCCCCTACCCCTTCTTTTTTAAGGATGTGATTGTGTCAGGGAAAGTGCTGTGGAATAAGAGAGTTTTGTCAGGGCATACACTAAGTTGGGGGGAGCATAATGGCTGGATCCCTAGGAGTGAGGATGTAGAGCAGTGTGGGAACAGCCAGTGCTGTATTTTTAAAAAAACAATGGTAAACTCTGAGGACTGGGTAGGTCCTTGTCCAGTGCCTCTTTTACAGATAAGAGCTGAAACTCAGGTGAGGGAATTTGCCTGAGTAGTGCGTTTTTTTCTGTTCTCTGGTTCAATAAGGTGTTTGGGGGTTGCTGTTTCTGATTCATGAAACAGGAGATGTGCTTTTCCTCCGGAGCAGTAGGGGGAGTGGTGCGGGGAAATGCATATTGTGAGGAGCTGTAGCTGGCAGTGGTGGCTGTGTGACCAGGGAGGAGTAATGCAGTCGGTTGTTTCTCCATGGGGACGAGTACTCTGGCTATTCTCTGTAAATGCTGGTGCTTCATCTATGCTTGATTTCTCCCCCATCTCCCCTCAGGTCAGTGAAGTTTAACAAGGGCTATACTGCTCTTAGTCAGAGTCCAGATGAAAACCTTGTGTCCCTCGACTCTGACAGGTGAGTGCTGTCCTTGGAAATACCCCTTGGGGAGTGATTGGGTGAAACTGCAGATTGCTTGGTGCTTTCACTAGTTCCCTCTCTTCGAAGACCCTCATGCATGTTCCAGGGCTGTCTTTGAAGACCTGTCCCTTCCCAGCTTGCTTAGAGGACTTAGAATGGCTTGCTTAGAGGACTCAGGACTCATGCTGCTGTTGGATTTGGGACACCAACCTTGTCTGGGCGAAATCGTCCTGCCTTATTATGTCTTGCACTGTTAGTGACAGTGAACCTGTCCCTGCTGGAGCCATTGAAGGAACCATTCGTACTCACAGCAGATTCTGGGTGTGAGTTGTGTGGTGTGGTCTTGCTTCAAAGGCCTGCAGACCCCCTTGCATGTTCTCCCCTTTTCCTTTTGCAGCTGTGCCCCACAGGCATCCCTCTGATCTGACTGTCTTCCTCTTCTAGTGATGGGGAGCTGGAATCAACATACTCCTCCGGGTATTCCTCTGCAGAGGCAAGTCCAGAGTGCCTTCCTGTGTGGGCCCAGGCTTCAGTCATTTGTCTAGTGCCTGCTGTATGCACTGTGTCAGACTTCCGGTTGGTTCTCCAATCTTCTACTCTGCCCCCTTCCTCCAGCAGAGGTGTAGGTGTCTAAGGAGGGCTGTTGAAAATCCAGGAGACCATGGACCCTTAGAGCTGGAAATGACCTGATAAGTCTTCTGTTCAGGACACCACTGAGAAAAGGAATCCTCTAGATAAATGTCAGCTAAGTGTTTACCAGCCACTACCTGCTTGGATGCTTCTTGTAATCGGGTACTCACTGCCTCCAAGAAACCTTGCTGCCTGCCCTCCCCCCAACATATATACACAATTCCTTCTTCAGGTAGCTTTCAGAGCTAGGTCTTCCTTATTAATTTGAAATGTCTTCTGCTGCCTGGACTTAGTGGTCCTAGGCCTACCCTCCAGTGTCACACAGTAATTCTAGTCTCCCTTTTGATTTTTATCTGAGATCAGCATTCCTGTTCCTCCCCCACCCAGCTTGCTTTCTTCCAGGCCAAACAACTTTTGTTCCTTCAGTTGTTCCATCTGTGAAACAACTCAGACTCAGATACTCCTGGGCTGGCCTTTCGGACATGTTATCAGAGTGATTGTCCCAGACAGAAACAAGGGACAGAAAGTTCTCGCATGTGCAGCTCACTGTCTTTGACAGAAGTGAAGTGCTGGGGACATGACTGTACTCCACTGGTGTTTCTTCCTTTTTCTCCTGGAAACCCTTGGCTACCTCCAAGTTTCTGCCGAAGAGAATAGAGGCAGTTTGTAAAGTGTGTCCTCCTTGAATAGCTGGGTGCCTAAGATTGTTAAAACTAAGAAAAATTAGCCAAAAGTCAGAGAAAGTTCTATACTGTTCCAGACTGATTTTCCTTCTGCTCCGTGGAACTGGTAAAGCCAAGCTGACAGGTTCCACTTTGGAGGGCTCTGCTACATCAAAGGACATGTTCTCCACCCCATTCTACTGTAATTCATATTCCTTCACTATTCTACCCCATTGTTCTGGTATCATTGTCCCATATTCTTCAGCCTTCATGGGGACCAACTATTCTGATTCCAGTGGGAGTGGTCAGAGCATTGATTTTCAAACATAAGCTGGAATATGGTATTTACATCAGAGGCCTCAGTATTTAGTGAGAGCACCTCCCCTGGGGGTTCATGACAGTGCAGCCTGGACAGCACTGGCTCAGGCCCCTGGGTGCCCCTCACTGCTGGGCGAGGCACAGGTGGGAATAGATGACGCTTCCACCTGTATTCCAGGGATGTGGGGTTGGCCTGAGGGTAGGGCATGGACAGGAAGCTCCACAAAGGGAATGTGGGGCTGCCTTTTGGGCAGCAGTCATTACTGCTTTGCAGCCTGGCTTATAATTCTCTTTCCTGCTCTTAGCAGGTGAACCAGGATGTGAGCCGCCAGCTGCTCCAGGATGGGTATCACCTGGATGAGATTCCAGATGATGAGGACTTAGACCTCATTCCCCCCAAGTCTGCGGCCTCAACGTGCTCCTGTTGCTGGTGCTGTCTTGGGGACTCTTCCTCCTGTAACCTCCAGTAGACAAACCCCCTAGGATGGGCCCTGCTCACCATACCTGCAGAGCCATTGACTCTTCCTAGGTCACAGTGCAGTGGGAATTGCCTCAGCCCCAGAATCACTGGAGGCACTGACCCTCTGGGAAGGTCAGTGACCTGCAGTTACCCCTGACTGGGTGCTTCTAAGGCCAGCGTCCCCATCTGGATGATAGGTGAGATTCTGTATTTTTCCTCTGCTGTCGGAGCAGAGTTTGGCGAAACCACTTTCATAAGGGCAGGAATAGAGGAATTCTGGCTCTCAACAGTGAGTGACAAGGTTGGCTAAGAAAGACTTGAAGACATCTTGACTAGTATTTGTCGTCATGCTCTTTGGAAGGAAAAAGAGAGCTTTTGTGCCCAGGCTGTGCTGGGTGGTGGTGTGTGGAGGCAGAAAATAGCATTTGTGGCTTGCAGCTGGGAATCTTTGAAAAATAACTATTTGGGACCAGTTGAAGAAATTCATTAAGCTCTTCTCTTCCTACCTCTAAGACAGGGTATAGGTTTGCCCCTCAAGAGAGCATACAGCAGGGCCCTTGGCGTCTTCTGCCTGTGCCTGTCTTCCTGTGGCAAGGAGGACAGGAGCTTGCTTGATGACACAGCAGGATCTCTGAACCCAGAGCACCCCCAACTGGTTCAGCTGTCTGGGTAGGTTTAGTGAGTCTGGTCAGCCCTCGTTAGAGAAACACTGCTCCACTATATACATATTTGTCTTTCCTTGGTTGCCTTTTTTCACCTTGGTCTTAGCCAGTTTCTCCGTCTCGTCTTCGAGCTAAAGGTTGGGTGAAGGGACTGGCGCCTCCTCAGAAGCCTCTTTTTTGGTTACCAGCAGAGGGAGCTGCAGGGAGCAAGCAGGTGCCTTCCTATTTGTTTAGCTTTTTAAATTGAGAAGTAGCAGTGGGTGAGTTGTGGCACAGCTGTGCTGGCTTGGACACAGATGGAGACTCAGACAGGATGGCCGGGGGGACGACCTGTGCCAGCTCCCAAGGCCCTGCCAGAGGAGACAATCTGCCATTGCAGAGGGCCTCCCTTTACCTCAGTGTGGGCCAGTAGACTGTGTCCAGGCCTCCGGATTCCTCTGACCACAGCATGAGCCTCGCAGTGGATACTAGGATTGGACTTCACAGGGAACCTCTGGGTGCCATATAGCCTCTCAGCCCAGCCTGAACACAGCAAAGGCAGGCACATTACCCTGTGACCCCTACTCTACAGCATCTCGTTAGACCAGACCTCTCCCTAGAATGTATGTTTTACAATGTGGTTTTTGTTTTTGTTTTTGCCTCACCTAGAACAGTGGTGAGGGCTAAATGGGCGTGGACAGGGTTCCCAGCTGAAGGGGCAGTCAGGATTGGGGCATGGGCCCCAGGTGGGAAAGTGCCTGGTCTGTTTCGTTTGCTGTCCTGTGGCCACGAGTATTTGAGCGATGGCATGGACTCTTGTCCTACTACATGAGGTGACTGACAGACTGAACATCAGATAAACTATTTTTCAGACAACTATCCTCATGAGGGTAATCCTATTAATGCTTGATTGGTGTTGATCTTGGTGCTTTTCTCAAATCCCAGAAAGCTGAGAGGAATATATGGTACCCAGGGTGCTGTGGCTAACTTCTGTTCTACAATCTAGCATATCATAGCAGGAGGGAGATGGGATAGAGACAGAGGCATCTGACATTGGGGCCCAGGGAACAGGGGAGGCAGATGGTTATTCTGTTCCGGAATGGGGCTCTGCAACTCTGCACAGGGAGTGAGAGAGACATCTCCATTCTGAACCCCTTGTCCATCCACAGAGACCATATCCAGGTCTCTGGTTTCTACAGAAGTGGAAAAGTGTACATAAAGAAAGGGCTCAGATGTAGGACAGTGTAAAGGAAGACAGTGGTGGTAACAGGAAACCTAGGGGGCCAAAAGTGGGGGTGGCAGCCGAGTGTGGGGCCACTTTTTTATCGGGGAGTTGGTTAGGATAGAGCAACCTGAGCATTTGGAAGCTGCTGGGGGTGAGGGTGGCAGCAGGACCCCAAGACCAAGATCCCTGGGTGGTTGTTGCTATTAATCCACACTGGTGTATCTGGCTGCAGCTGTCCCAGGAGAGTCTGTGCCAGAGTTGGGCGACCCTGTATGCAAGGCATTACCTTTGTGCGGAAAGTTGCAGGAACCTGGAATGCGGGATAGAGTACAGTGAGGCAGGAGAGAAATGGCCAGTTTTTTGTGGCTAGAGGCCAGAGGCTAAAATGTCACCAATAGAGGTCCTGAGGTGCCCAGAGCCCAACTGCCTTAATTCAGAGTGCTGCGTATTGTGCAGATAACAGTGCCCTGGGGAGAGGGGTATATCTGGGCTTACCTCGCACATGGGAAGGGGTACTGAGTGATATGTACAGAGAACTCTACAGAATTCTTGGCTTAGGCTTCTCCAGCTCTGTAAGTTAATAATAAATATAGTCATGCTAGTTGAGCTGTCTTTGTGTTGCAGTAAGATTTTTAAGAAAGGCCTAGACCCAGTCATTGCTCTTTCTGAATTCTGAAATGAAGAAATAGCTTAAAAGCCCCAACTGTGACCGTTCCTCCTAGGACCTCTCCTCGTTTCTGCTGTTCTCAATGGGCATCATTTTCAGGCCTGCTTCCCTGGAGACCATGGATGGAATAGGCCTTTGCACATCAAGTCTCTTTAGAATGAGTTCCCTTTAGCAGACCCTTTCTTCCCAGGTCTTTTTTTTTTTTCTAGCTGAGAAAATTCGGGGCCAAAAAACCCAGAATTTTTTTGAAGGTAATTTCCTGGAATTCAGCTGTACAGGGGGTCTAGTGTGGGCAGCAGCCCAGAAAGATCCTTTTGTGCAAGTCTAAACCCTTAGCCCACAGGAGGAGCCAATAGCCTGGGTCTCTGCCTAGCCTGGGGTGATAAGATCTCAGTGACAAAATAGACAGCTGTGCAGCTTCCTGCATAGATGTGCCCCATCTCTGAGAGGGTGGGCTCTAGGAGAGTAGATACCATCCTAGGTATGTGCTGCCAGTTTAGAAAAAGGAGCTAGTTGCTCTGCATAACACAGGTTGGATCGTCCTGTCCCCGAGTCCCTGTATCTACAATAAATGAATGTGCTCTAGAGAAGTGGTTGTTGACAAACGTTCTCTGTGAAGGGCCCACTTTGCAGGCCACACGGTCTGGCCCATCTACTCCACTTTGCCCTTATAACTTGAAAGCAGACAGACAGTATGTAAATAAGTAGGTGTGGCCAACCCCCACCTGCAGGCCTTCGCATGCTGATCCCTGCCCAAGGCCAACGGAAACCTTGGAGAAAAATCTTGCTCTTTAGACCTACCTTTCATTGTCTGCAGGGCTGGAGGGCCCATGGCGTGCCTGCACGCTCTGCATCTGAGGCTGAAGCTGGATGCCTCTCCCTCGCCTTCCTATGAAAGGGCTCTGGAGTCCAGCCTACCCACTTCAGAGACTAGACAGCCAATGGCTGAGTGCTGTGCACCCCCACAGCCTCAACACAGGTGATCTTTAATTGCTTTGACAGAGCAAGAGGGTGACAATGAACTATATCAGTCCGCAGGCCTACCCTTTCCGTCCTCTCCAGCCAAGGAAACAGGCAACCTCAGGGCCAGAACCCTGTTCTTAAAAATTAGTTACCTACCCTTTTGCTGTAACTGATACTGAGCTAATCATAGATTTCACCAGCCTATTTAATGCGGTAGGTGGAAGGGCTGTTGCCTCCTGCATTGAGTCTGGCTCAGGTGTGCTGAGAACACAAAGGAAGTGTCAGTCCTTAGTCTTCACATGGGACCCTCCCAGGAAGATGGTTCAGCCTAGGCCTGCTCACTACTCCACCAGCTCTCCTAAGGCATCTCCAGAGCGTCCAGAGCAGGGAAGGCATTTGGGCTGGGCCTGAGGAGGTAAGGCTGGCCAGGATTTCAGGTGACTAGGCAGGAGATGGCTGTGGCCTCTACAGCAGACAGCAGGCACGGAACATCAACAGGTCCTCAGGCATCATGAGCTTCAGTGAGACGCTCTCGTTAGCCCCAATGAAGAGTACCCCGCCACGCTGTAGGGGGATTGCTGCCTGGGCTGTGGGAGTGCTGGCTGTCACTGTACCCTGCATCATCAGGAGGATGCTAGCAGAGTCCAGTGCCAAGATCTTATACTCAGTGACGGAGCCCGGGACCTGGGCAGGAAGACACAAAAGGATGGTGCAGCTCAAGCTGTTCCGCTGGCCCACAGGCACAATGAGGGAGAGCCCTGCTGCCTTTGCCCCCCTGCTCAGGCTCCTGCCAGCATGGGGCCCACATCTTGTTCCAGGTATAGAGGGTGGGCAGGCCCTGCGGC